TTTCAAAAAACTTCATTCTGTATGATTTATAAGCTTTTGTACCCGTGGGGACCATAATTTAGGTCCCCCCCCTGACACGAGTACCCATGAGTCTGTGTGTATTCAGGTTTAAGTCCCCACCAGGATATATAAACCTGTACACACACACACATATATATATATATATATATTTTTAATTTTGCTTTGTACAATTCAGCCCATGACACAACAAACCACACAAGTAACATGACAGATGGGGGGGCTCTATCAATTTCTTTTTATTTTTTGTTCTGCTTTTATTCAGTTTCTGTTAGATGAGTTAAGGCATGTATGATGGTTCCTCAATGTCCCCATTTGCTCATAGCAAGCAAACTAATGAAAGGCAATTCAACAATCATTCCATACCATTACTCTGACCACTCAAAGTTAATCATCTCATTACAGCCAAAAGAGCGGATACCGGAGCGAATAACGTCGATCTCGATGTCAATGTGAAACCTTGCCGTAGGGGCTTAAACTCACAGAGGCCTGCATGCAAGGTGAACACAGAAATATAGAAAAACCAGTCAATCTCATCTGGGTCACAGAGTCTTTTCTGACTTGAATTGTGTGTGATGTCAAGGTGAGACATTAGGAGGCCTGTGTATGTAAAGGGCCCATATTGATACCTCACCAGTCATTGGCTGCATCCGAAATCACATACTTCCCTACTATATAGTAGGCCAGTGATCTTCACTATTTTTTTCACGAGAGCCGCACTTATAGGACAAAGTTAATAGGAGAGCCACTTTTACTGCAAAGTATGAAAAGTTACATCCAGTCATAAATAGCATGTCTGCTTCTCAATCTGTCGTCCCTGAACATACAATATGCAATGCAATACAAAGGGCTTTATTTTTTAAAAGTTATTTAAAGTTATTTTTTAAAGTTATTTATTTACATTTATTTGCTTCTACATTAGCCCATCATGTATCAAACCATAAGAGCACATTCGGCGTTAAGAGCTGGAGAGATTGGCAAAACAACTCCGCAGTGAGTCAATGTCATGGACGTAAGGGCAGAGCAAGTTTAAATATCTTTCTAGTCTATATTTCCATCTTGTAATTCCGCTGTTTTGGGTATTTTTTAAATATAAATGATTTATAATAGAGTAGACACTGACTGTTTTTCATGTATTTATGTTCTCATTTAGCGAGACAGCAGACGCTGAAAACACTGCACACTTCAGTATGTGTGTAGTAAATGAAACCACGCGTCTGTGCCATTCATTCATAAAGAGACATGCAGGATTCATATTTAAATGTTATTTTTGCAGCTTACAAATTCCGTGACATTCCGCGTTATACAGTAAATTCTGTTTTTATGACTGGATTCCGCAATTCTGTCCGCGTTTTCCGCATCGCAGAAACCATAGGGCCATAATTAAAATGGGTTCTATTGTCTTTTGTCGCGTCGCACCACGACGCTTGCGTCCAGTGTAGACACGGTGTGAGTTTTTTTAATGGTTTAGTTTTAGCCGTGCTTGTTTTTAATGTTTTTATTAAATATCTGTATTGATCATATCATCGCATTATTTACTGCCATCTGCCATGCGAGCCACACATTAAAGCTTGGCGAGCCGCGCAATGAGTAACACTGTAGTAGGCAAACAACAGTTCTGGCGAGATTGTGAAGTGCGCATCTGATGGACACTTTACTATCCCATGAGGCCACAGGAGTGGATTTGTGAAACAAAACTAACTGACACTGGTAGGGTCACGTGACAGTGACAAGATGATGTATATAGTACAGATTGCATTCATACTACCCATATACTACATACAACACAAGTTTTTAACGGTCGTGAAGTATTTACTCTCTATTTAGAGAGTTTGTGATTTTGGACACAACCATTGAGTTCCTCAGAAACCAATCATTCAAAGGCTTTGACTGACAACATCTTACGAATCAGAATCCAACAAATCCAAGGAAGAAGAGTATAACACATTCACTCAGCGGCTCTGCAGATGGACGTATAACTCAGAAAACCAGAATGCACTAAAACAGAACAACTTGACACCACTTGAACATTCAACTTGGAAACCCGTGAAGAAAATTTGAGATGCAGGTTCACGGTCGTTACTGAACACCTGCATTGTTACACTCACATGTTGGCGCTCAGTCAGATGTACAGTAAATAAACTGCTACATTAAATCATAAACAATCCTCTCTGTTGATAATGGCACTCCTGCAGAACAGATGCTAGTGTCGCACAGCATCCTCACCCTCCACAGTTCGGTTGCTAAGAGATGTCTTTGTTGACAATCAAACACCTGTGATATTTAATGCCTGCTTTGCCATTTCGTTTCCTTATAGGAGTGTTGGGTAAGAGATATCAAGCATTAGCAATATTTCAGCTAAATGTCATGGGGCAAAAAAGGTCCATCGTCTATTGTCAATTGTGTAGCGACATATGTGCCTGTCGTGATCATAAATTTTGTGCTGAGGATGAACTGTCATAAAATAGTAGTGGATTACTCAGTAAATATACATCTGTGACATTTAATATTTTGGCTTTCATCACTATTTATGTTCGTCTTTGTACAGAAAAAATATTAACAAAATAAAAAATTTGAACCGGATCAAATAAAAGTAAAATCATTGTATAATATCATATCACATAATATTATGCAGTCTTATTAAACCCACGAACCCTCATTTCGTACGAAGGAAGATCTTTTGACTATCTTTGTGTACTAGAAAAAGAGACACAGTATCATGCATTTAGATTTTCTGAATTTTCTCATTTGGGTGGCAAAATGTGAACTTTAAACTGCACACTTATTGCAAATAATTAGACGGGATAACCATAATCAGACGATTAATCAATAATCATGACAGGCCAGTGTTGTGTGCAGCACAGCTGACACAGAAGTCACTTTCAAACATAGCAGCTTTTTGAAAGACTCACCGCTGAACCAGTTTCGATATATGCATGGGGAAATCTTTTGCCTTCATGTGAAATTCCCAATTGTCAGGATTTCTACTGAAATGACAGGATTTCATCTGTGAAAATTCGCCAAACAGTGGTAAATGTGACCGCACCTTAAGCCTATTGACCATATAAAAAAGGATGAGTCTTTCAGTATATCCTATCCCAATCTGTTTCAATAGGAAATACATCAGGAAAGCAAAAGGAAAGCAAACTGCATTCATCAAGCCATTTCATGGGGTCTTTCATACATCAGCCCTTCCACTAGTGTATCAAATGGGATGGGCGCTTGCACACCATTATTAACGGCACTGTAATAAAGGATTTCTCAGCAGAGCTGGAGGATGGGACAAATCTGGCACACTCTCTCTGCAGGACGTCCTCCCTGCAGTCACAGGCCTTATCGCTCCACTACAGATAGAATCACAGAGACCATCGCTTATTTCACTGAGAGTATTAGTGGTCGAGAGGAGCAAACAAGGCCTGACACACACACACACACACACACACATATCTATAAACAGCACCTCTGAGCGCTGTGAGAAACGCACCTGAAAGAGAGTAAACCAGAGAAAGGCAAGGTGAGGCCATTAACCTTGAACAGAAAAACAGGACGAGTACAGTGTCCAAGGAAAAATAAGACTCCTGCTCACAGTGTTCTTTAGGTGAAACCCTGCACTTAAAAAGACCACGGCAAAAAAAAGCAAGTCGCTAGACAGTGATTTATAACCTGTGTCGTACAGATCAGTGTGAACAAATCCTTATCAGATCTAAATACATTTGTACCTGGTGCATTTTCTCCAGGTTGGTAAGAATTTTTTTGGAAAGAAGTCTCTTAGGCTCTGCATTTATTTGATCAAAAAATGCAGTAAAAACAGTAATATTGTGAAATATTATTGCAATTTAAAATAACTGTTTTCTATTTGAATATATTTTAGAAATTTAATTTATTCCTGTGATGCAAAGCTGGATTTTCATCATCATTACTCCGGTCTTCAGTGTCACATGATCCTTCAGAAATCATTATAGTATGCTGAATTGTTGCTCAAGAATCTTTTATTTTTAATAAAATAAGATGTGCTGCTTAATATGTTTTTGGATACCATCACACTTTTTTAAGTATTATCTGATGAATATAAAGTTCAAACGAACAGCATTTATTTGAAATACCTTTTTTTGGTGTAAGAGTTATTTTGCCACTTATGATTAAATTTAATGTGCCTTTTCTGATTAAAAGTATAAAAAAAAAAAAAACAGACCCCCCAACATTTGAACAGTAGTATGCAAATATTGCACTGATCACTTCTTGTATTCCTCATTTTAAGTCACTTTGGATAAAATCAACAGTTAAATAAAAAAAAATGTATTTTTTTTATTTATTTAAACATTATGTTAGTTTTACTTTCTCATCTCATGACTTGCATTAAGATGTATTAATAGTCTCTGATTTAAACTCCATTTGCAAAAATTATATTAGTGTTGTTGGTAAGAGTAATTTATTACCATGAATAATTTAAAACTATTAGCTCAATACATTTAAAAATGGATTTGAACCGATTAAAATTTAATGATTAATACATTCTGCATGGCATTTTTAAATGTTTTCAAATATTTGTAGGTAAATGTTGCTGTTTATTACTATATATTGTTATTATTGGCGAATATGCAAATAATGCAAGATCATTCTTCCTTTAGTGAAGGACATCATTGAAAACATGCCTTATTCACAGTATATTTGACCTTATTTTAATTCTTACATCAAGCATCTTGAATCTACAGTACTGGTTGAAGTGATGGTTCACTTGATTATGTCCTGCTTTGTGTGGTTCTCATTTATGGCTTATATTACAGCAAGTCAGCATTTCAGGGATGTGAGCCCTCTTTAAAGAGTGTGTTATGACAAATGACAAATGCTGTCCAAATCAATAATGTAATCAACACCCGACTCTGCTCAGAAAATACACTGAGCTACGGCTGCATGTATAGAGCTGAGTCAGAGAATTATTGATCAACACACAGCCATCCAACATGACAGCCTTAACTACTGACCTTTATCTGGATGATTTAGTACCATGATCCTTCTGTGGGCTTCCAGTACCTTTGCCTTAGTGCTGGTCGGGACTGCACAAAACAAGCAAACAGAACATTTAGAAAAGAAGCACACCACCATCTAGTGGACACAGTGTGAACTGCTGTATGAATCTAATTACAGGCCTCCAGACTGATTTTTTTGCACTAGTCATCAACATGTGTGGTCTGTCTCCATCACTGCACACATCAACTGGAAATACTCAATCTGTACATCCCCTGAAAATCCCCAATTTAGTGGGCAAAACAGACAACAGAACTGGAAAAAAAAAGTATTCGCATATGCTTAAGGACATTTTTTAACTCTTTTGACAAATGGATAAAGAAAAGCATTTGACAAAACAACAAAAACAGCAAATGGACAAAGCAAATGGCAAATGCTTTTTTTATGCAAATATACATCTTTAAATGTTTTATTAATTTACAATTTGATTGCTTTAACTACATTTTAAAACATTAAACTTTTTTAAACGTCAATTTATTTTCCTATTTTAAAAATAAATAATTAAATAGTTAAAGAAATATTTAAAATAATAAAACAACTTTTTATTTAAAAATGATTAACTTATTATTTAAAAGTTTTAAAGATATCCACTGAAAGCTTTTGTTTTTCTGGTGGTGCTGGATACTAATAGTATATATTCATTAAGAATTACTTAAAATGAGAGAAATTACCTAAAAATCCCCAAACATCTTTACAATTTGTTTGACATATATAAGCATAATTACTTTTTAAAAATATACATATAATATACCTCTTCCTTCAGTCAGGATATAGTAGTGTTTCCTTTAAGGATGCACATTCAAATGTGTGTATTGATTAATTTGATTAAAAATGAAGCATTGAGTTATGGTCTGAGGACAGGTGGTTTTAGGCATCCTTACCGAAAAGATAAATAAATTTCTTTCCAGCCAACAGCTGTCAGGGTTTAGATCTGAGTCATAGCTGAATAGCCAGAAGTGATGATTAAAAGATACATTAATGCTTGCACACAAGCGTTCAGTCCTACAAACCCTCCTCTAAAGTCTCAAATCATATGCGGGAGTGGGTGTCTGAGAGGGGCCTGAGAAACTAATTAAAACACTGTGCGGCGCGGATGATTCCAGAATGTGATGACGAATCCGTCAGACTAAACTGCATTTGTCGGAAGAGTCAGCATCTCCACCAGATATGTGTGGCATTCGGGAGACTAAATATAAGCATAATTACTTTTAAAAAATATACATATAATATACCTCTTCCTTCAGTCAGGATATAGTAGCGTTTCCTTTAAGGATGCACATTCAAATGTGTGTATTGATTAATTTGATTAAAAATGAAGCATTGAGTTATGGTCTGAGGACAGGTGGTTTTAGGCATCCTTACCGAAAAGATAAATAAATTTCTTTCCAGCCAACAGCTGTCAGGGTTTAGATCTGAGTCATAGCTGAATAGCCAGAAGTGATGATTAAAAGATACATTAATGCTTGCACACAAGCGTTCAGTCCTACAAACCCTCCTCTAAAGTCTCAAATCATATGCGGGAGTGGGTGTCTGAGAGGGGCCTGAGAAACTAATTAAAACACTGTGCGGCGCGGATGATTCCAGAATGTGATGACGAATCCGTCAGACTAAACTGCATTTGTCGGAAGAGTCAGCATCTCCACCAGATATGTGTGGCATTCGGGAGACTAAACTGTGTGCTCAAATGCATTTAAAATCAGCAATGAATATAAGGATGATCAAAGAAAACACAAACATGACTGCAAAATAAATAAATAAATAGTGTAAGAAGAGGCTGATTTGATCTAAAATACAGTAAAAACAGCTAAATATTATTACACTCTAAAGTAGTTGTTTTCTATTTGAATATATTTTCAAATTTAATTTATTTCTGTGATGAAAAGCTGAATTTTCTGCATAATTACTCCAGTCTTCAGTGTCACATGATCCTTCAGAAATCATTCTAATATGCTGATTTGCTGCTCAAGAAACATTTCTTCTTATTATTATTATTATTATATTCTTAATATTATTGTATTTTCAGGATTCTTTGATGAACAGAACAGAAAGTTTAAAAAAATGTTTATTTGAAATATAAATCTGTTGTATTGTAACAGTATAAATGTATTTACTGACACTTTTGATCAATTTATTGCATCCTTGCTCACTAAAAGTATTAATTTATTTTAAAAAATGATAAAAAAGTTAATTTTTAGATGAAATATCCCTTTACAGAACACAAATAACTGTACAAATTAGCCAAATTTACCATGGGTGTAGAAAGATCAAAGTATATCAAAGCAAACAGTAACATTACTGAGGCCAGTTATTTCAGCTGTGAGTGACAGACACCAAAGTAAAGCTCAAGACAGATGAGAAGAGAATAATAAAAACTATAAACCCGAATCAGTACCGTTTTATGAGCGTGAATGCGGTTGACCGAGTTCATACTGATCACATCCAAGAAATATTGGTTACAGTCTGGTTCAGTTTTATGAAAAAATTAGTCCAGTTTGATTGACAACACAAAGAATTGAGGCACACGGCAATGACGCAAACACTCAGAATTTTTTGAGAAATATAGCCTCCTAGGAGGAGGAGGGGGGTCCACCAAAAAGCAGATTACAAAGTTAGAGACACAGCTGAGACTTTTTCCCATTAGACGAAAGGATCAAAGCCGTGACGACAGGAGATGACGACCGACTTCAAACCAAAAGAATTGCCCCCAGACTTAACCGCATGCTCTTCTGGGAAGTGCAGTGATGCAGTGTGTGTATATACTGTAAAACACCTTTGTTTTCTTCCATGACAACTCATAATGAGAGAATTCAGTAAGAGGAATTGCAGTGATTTAGGGCTTTGTTTAGCCCATAATTACCTGATCCCAAGAATAAAGCTGGCTTCCCGTCTGGTCATCTTCTGCTCAAATCCTCCTTTGTAATATGCAGAAAATGACTAGGAAAGAAGAGAAAATGTTGAAAACAATGATCCAAATTCAAAGTTAAGCTCTATCAACTGCATATATGTTGCCAGGAAAACAAATGGCGCCTTTTTCAGTTTTAAACAGTTAGAATGGAAATACACAGGGTCAGGCAGTAAACCTTAACATACACACTCTTCTCAAAGTGTCACAAGACTTCAATCTTACGTCCATGAAACTAGGATCATAGAATCACTTGTAAAGTTTCAATTGGGTTGTCACGATCAGTGTTTGGGTAACAGTAACACACTGCAAGTAACACGAGTTACGTAATCAGATTACTTTTTTCAAGTAACTACTAAAGTAACATATTACTTTCCATAAAAAGTTACTAAGTAATGCAATTAGTTACTTTTTAGGGAGTAATGCAATATTATAAAAGTAACTTTCCCCAACACTGATCATGATACACACAATGAGAAATGATGTAAGTATCTGTAAAGCACAGACATTACGCTGGTAATCTGTAATCAGAAGTTCATTTACCCAGAAAAGTGACTGCAGCTGAAAAGGATTTTATTTTACTGTAATAAAAATGTAAGCTTCACATTTCTAACATTTTTTGGTTTTAATTTTTTTGTTGGGGGGGGGATCTGCAAGTTTTATGAAGGTAACACAATGCATCAGTACGTTCTCTAAATGTAAATGTGTAGGTTAGTTTTAAACTTTAAAAGGATGCTTTGATATGTGATTAGAAACTACAAAAATACTGAGGGCTAAATTAAGACTTTAAAGGGTTAGTTCACCCAAAAATGAAAATTAGGCTGCGTTTTACTCACCCCCGAGGCATCCTAGGTGTATATGACTTTCTTCTTTCAGACGAATCCAGTCGGGGTTATATTAAAAATTTAACTTTCAAGCTGTTTAATGCCACTCAGCGGGTGTTGCATTACTTCAGTCCAAAAGAACTTAAATAAAAATCGCCCATCCATAAAAAAAAGTGTCTCACACGGCTCCGGGGGGTGAACAAAGGCCTTCTGTAGCGAATCGATGCGTTTTTGTAAGAAAAATATCCATATTCAAAACGTAATAATCACTTGAATCTAGCTTGCGCTCACTGTTGTACACGGAAGCAGTTCCGGGGGAATGACGTATGAGGTCAGCTTTGCACACCTGCGTGAGGGCTAATAAACAACAACAGAATTATCATAGTTTTTTTTGCTGCACTATCCCTTTAATTAAAATTTCATAACAGAATAACATCTGTCTGTGGCTCCTTCATCCACTTTGGTCAGAGTTCATGATTGAGTAAAAACACGTGTATGTTCAGAGTGTGAGAGAGGCCAGAATGTTCAGTCCAATCTCAGCCCACAACATGACACTTAATCACACTCATCCATTATGTGATTCACAGAATGATGAAATCACTGGATTAATAACTCTAATAATGATCTATTACAAGTGTGCTCCGTCGCAATCCCGGTTTAGGAGAAAGCCGCTGAGATTTGAGAAGTTTAAGAGTGCACACAGGTGGACAGGTTGATTCAAAGCGCTGGGAACCAGCCCCGACCACACAACCCTGGAGATTAAGAAGAACCTGGACAAATCAGCATTACAAACTCCATCAAAAACCAGAAGCACAGCGTGAACTACAGCAATGGCCAGTAAGATGTGATGAATCAGTCCAACGCCCTACAGCAAGAGGTTTAACATGCCAACACCGCACGCAAACAAGCGCCTCGAGATGTGGAGATGAACATGGAAAAATCCAAATTTCATTCCCACAAATCATTGCTTTCTGAAACAGAATCTGTTTAAAAAACTAAAGTTATGCTGGAACTTTTCTCAATGGGATTACTGATTCATAGGGTGTTAGAGAGCAATCCAAGAGGAAAAAAATTGCTCAGAGTTTGCTCTTCCTAAGCTCAGGAGACTTAATTGTGATTCTCATATATCTCTCATTTTTCTATCAACAGCATTTCAGATGTTTCATCACGTTTAACATCACATGGAGACTTTTGCTTGAGTCTCCTTCTTCTCACACTTGTCTCCTGAGACAAAAACTCTAACATTCTTACAATGGTCTCTTTTAAAGTTTTAGAAGAGATCTCATCATCTTCACACACTTGCTCATATTTTTCTCCTTAACAACAGACCCTGGATCTCTCACATTTGTTTCTTTTAAAGCTTTAGAAGAGATCTCAAAAACATCACACACTGTGCTTAGATCTTTCTCCTTAGAGACACTGGTGGTCTCACATTTGTCTCCTCTAAAGTTTCAGACAAGATCTCAACAACATCACACACCATGCTTAAATATTTCTCCTAAACTAAAGACTCCGGTGCTTATGTACAGTCGTATGTAGTACACTTTAGGTACTAATATGTACTTATAGGCCTGGTTTCACAGTCAGAGCTTAGACTAAGCCAGGTTTAGCCCATGGTTCAATTAGGACTTTTAAGTATCTTTTATAAACATTCCTTAGAAAAAAACATTACTGGTGTGCATCTTGAGACAAAACAATGGCACTGATATAAAATATGTTAAGTGCAAGTTTCTTTGAGTTAAAACAGCTCAGATATTTTGGTCTGGGACGAGGCTTAAGCCTGGTCTGTAAAACCGGGGGATAAAGTACTAATATGTACAATTAAGGAACCTATATAAACCATTTATTGGTAAATAAGCTACAAAGATGTACCTTTTAGCTTTTGTACCTTTTTTTTTTTTTTTCAGGGTGTATGTTAAAAATGGTTTGTTTGTTTCTGACACTTACCGCAGTGGGTAACTTCTTAGTAGCTTCCGTAATCAATTCCGTAACATCCGCCTCCGGCGGACCAGCAAGAAGCTGAGTCCCCGAACACGAGGTACCCCCACCTCCGCCCGAGATTGATGGCGAGGAATTCGGCTGGTGAGGCAGGTGTTTCCGTGACACATCAGTGGAATGCATATCAACCTAAAAGCAAATGTAATTAAGGGAAAAAAAGGTTGAAAAGTGTGCCACTTGATAGCAAACCATTTACAGAGTTAATTTCCAGGATTAACAAAGTTGGTTTAAGGGTGAAACCAAGGTCAAAACCACATTTTAGTCTTATTCAATATGTGTTAAAGGTGAGGTCGCCTTTCAACTTCCCTTGGTATTTATTTGGTCAGGGTGCTGTGAACTGCTAGTGGTTGTGGTACGACTGAGAAGCAACACACTGCAAGTCAGCACTCAATTAAATGAACATATAATGCCTTCGAACATCCAGCATTCAATAAAGCAGCTGTGAAAGGCTGTCGAGCGGCTCATTTAACCCAACCAAACTTTAGGTGAAAAACACAGAAAATCGTTAAAATAATTCATTATGGGAACATTTTTGGATTTTCATTTCATCAAACTCTGGGAAGTATATTGTTAGAGGAAAACGTTATTTTGCTTTTCAGCAAAATAGCACTTGAGGCTCCCTCCACTGTAACCCAAAGCCCTGCCTCTGAGCTGAGCTGAGCAGACCACACACCGCCTCAGCTTTTGGCAGGAGCGCTGCCCCCTCGATGTACTGAAATGGGAATTAGCCCCCTTCCTCAAAGCGACCACAAGTGCTATTCCATCCTGACCTCACACAGCTATGGGTGGAAAACTTGGCAACTAACAATGAATAACTACCACGCAGCAGTAGGGAGGACAGGAGAGACACCTGCCAGAAAATAATCAAATGTAAACGGGCTGATGACAAAGTCACTTAAATTATTTGGCCACATGCGGCCGTTTAAAGTCGCTTTGATTCCTTTAATGCTAGAGGCCACGTTGACCTCATTAACCAGACTGAGCTTCATCTGGGGGCTTCAACAAACACTCACCGTAAGAGCGGCTTAACCATCACCCTCATCAACATCGCCATCATCTTGAGTGCTTTCTTTAGAATCACATCATAAATATCTGTGGGCAGCTTTAACATACGGAAAGTTTAGCTAAATATTTTAAGAAGACAAAGGAGGAAAAAACTTTTATTACATTATACAATGGCTACTCTATCCCACTGTGAACCGCAACATGTGAGATTTTAGCTTACAAACATCCTGCCTAGAAACATACTCTGAGCCAGAACGCAAACACGAACACTTCGCCAACACGACGTTCCAAGAGTGCTGATATCTAGTTCAACAGCACTGGGATTTTTCGCCGTTGATATCACTTTACTCGTTTGTGTTTGCACTTTCTAGACAGACTGTCAGTCTGTGTATGAGTGGTAGGGAGTTGTCACTGATTCATTCACCCACTCATTCATTCATTCAGGATCAAAACAAGAGATTGTCTTTATGAGTGAGTATTTGAATCATTCCCTCAACTGATTCATTCAAGCTAGGGCTGTCATTTTATTAATGCATTAATCTAAATAATTAGTTATGGAATAAAATAACACGTTAAAATTTTTTACACAGTTAGCACATCCGCCCCACGTACGTCATCTTACATTTCATGAGGTGTGTTCGGTTTCAAGCGGCGCTGTGCAGATCGATCAGGAGACCAGAGGTCATTGTATGATTGGCTGAGGTGCCTCACGTGATCCAATTTAGCCGTTACGCTTTTTCCAATGGTAAGTAATACAGACACTCACAGCTCCCAATAGTAAGACAATCTCTGCCTATGCAGATGATTGGTGGTGAACATGATGCTGGAAACAACTGTGATGTAGCCTATAGAATGCAGTTATATGCCTCTAAAATTCAAGAGATTGGAGCAAAACGACCCTGTATGAGATTTTGTTTAATATTTATATGGTATGGCATAGTTAAGCAATGCCACACAAGCAAAGAGTGCAATATCATACCAGTGTTGTTTCAAATGTGATATTGATTTTATACAGCAGTTCATTAAATAACAACTTAATATTCCCTGATAGCACACGTACATCACGGAGACGTCTATTTGACGTCTGCATTTCCATCTGCAAGACATATTTTTAGAGTGTTTGCTCATTTGCAATATGTCTATAGGACGTTTCCGATCAGATGTCTAATAGACGTTTAGAAAACGTCTTTAAGAGGTTTATGATTTAGAATGTATGTAAAACTGACATCTTAAAGACGTCTATCAGATGTTTGTACACAGCAGATGCTTTCCAGATCAAGCGATCTTTAACAGACATCTTGCAGACGTACGTGTGTTATCTGGGTCGTATTACATTTTAGACACAATATTTTCTGTTTTTGCTCAATTTGCCAAGGCAAATATTACCTATTAAAGGCACAGCAGAACCGTTGTGCATCTCCAAACAACACAAAGTTTCTGAATGAATCAGCGTTTTGAACGAATGGGGTGAACCAATGATTCAATGGCTCGTTCATAAAGAGAACCATTTACTTCATTCCTAAATTATAAATGAACAAATCAAATGAATGAATGAATGAATGAATGAATGACTCATTAAGACATTTACTGCCACCTACTGGCAGTTTCTTATTTAGAGTATCATTTCATTAAAAAATAATTTCATATTTACATATTAATAAAAAAAATCTGAAAAAACAAACAAACATATTAATAAAAAAACTACTTAAAGGGTTAGTTCACCCCCGCCCCCAGGAAAAAAAGAAAATGAAAGAAAAAAACATATTTTTAATGCTACTTTTTGTAATATCTATTTCATGCTTTTCTCATGTTACACAATAATGGCTTTAAATGATCTTTTGTGGGTAATTACTGAGCCAAATTTGATGTGTGATTATTGTGTAATTAATTAGATTAAACATTGTAAGCAACTGACAGCCCCAGTTCAAGCACACCAATTAATTTAGGACTGAAATAACTGATGAGTGTTTTTGAGTGTGTCATTGAATCATTTACTAAACTGATTTGTTCAAACACACTGAAAAAAAAGTGCCTGGGGCTCATTCACTAATAATTTTGTAGATTATTTCATATTTGCACTTCTCATGAAGAATGTCTTCCTAATTCACAAATTTGTTCTTAACCTTGTTCTTGGCTTGTTCTAATGTTAAAGAATTTAGAGTACTCAACATGAGCGACCATGTGCCTGAGCTTAATATCCTTTCCTCTATAGCCTTTAATTACTTTCTGCATCAAACGTATTACACTAAAGCTGCGCACTTGCCAAAGAGCACATGACACAAGATCCTCAAGCAATGCTATCCACCTTTTACGCACAGACCCAGACTATAGACCTCTCATTAGCCAGCCCTAACCCTAACTGTGCAGCTCTGGCTTAATAACACAGCTTTTCTTACTCTTTTACTGTACATGATGACATATTGATGTACAAAATTTCATCTTAACATAATTATGAGGCCACTCAGTATACGTGTTTTTTTTCTGGTGTGTGGTTTTAGTTCTTTCTACATTTTTTTTTTTTTTTAATTTAGAATAAATTTTAGTATGAAAGTTATAGGTGAATGATTTGCTCATAAAAACCTTTGAATGCAGATTTCACACACAGATTTGCGCCTAATGTGCTTAGTGAATGAGATCCAAAGTCTTTATAAGTGAGTCAATGAATCATTGCCTCCACTTATTCATTCAAGCAAACTGATTAATTCAGGATCCAAACAAACAAGTGACTGTCATTTACAACACACTGATTCATTCAGGAATAACACAACACTAATGTGTTTTGCTCGGACACGCAACAGTTAGTTCTACTTCTAATTCATTTGGAAATATTTTCATTGGCAAAGCAAAAATAGACAACGTAACTGACAAAAATGCATCTAAAATGTAAGTTACTCAATACTAACTTCTTGTTTATTGAACTGCTGTATAAAAGCAATATCACACTCACAATTCTAACATGACAATATTGCGCAAACCAACTAAATGCTATCAGCAGCTTGAAATTACTTATCACAGGCAACCCATGGAAGAAAATGCAAGCAATCCGGTCTCCTCTGAAGTAATCTGAGGTTGAGCACTACCTCAAAAGCACAATGGTGATCAATCATCAGTTTGGACCGGTAACCATTGGTTCTCAGCCCAGAGCTTTAACCACTAGGCCATACCACACATGTTACATGAATGCATGTAGCTTCTGCATGCGACTGCAACATGTGGTTTAATGACACACAAATCTCCAAACGGATGCATGCACAGGGGTTCAAAGCAGATGTGCTCACCTGCAAACCCTGCTGCTGCCACTCCCAACCCCACTGCCATCAGACAGCCACCCTGAAACACACACACACACAAACATCACATCACTATGATACTCATTAATAAACACAAGCCAAGCACTGGTAGAGAAGGATTTTAAGTGTTAGACAAGGTACATCAGGTTTTCCCATAGCAGATCATTAAAAATGTAAAAACTAGACTAGACTTCCACAGGAAATGTAAGATTCAAATAGTTCAGATGTAAACACACAAGCCATTTAACCTATGTTCTATCTATCTATCTATCTATCTATCTTCTCAGAAAATACCCCAAAATTAATAAAAACACCCAGAATGTCCCAGCTACTACCTTAAAATGCATAGCAAAGACCCAGAATGCCATATAAACCATCAAGAACACCTTAGAGACCAATTTGTATCCATAAGGTGCATATAACCTTTAAATTTATACGTTTTTAAAGCTATTTTAATCTTTCTTTGACAAACAAGATTGGATTGACAAACTTAATTTTTAGTTAAGGATCTTATTTTACGACTATACTTATTAAATCAGCTTGTACTTATAGCTTTTTGTGGGCCATAAAGTGTCAGTAGGAAATATATAAAGACGCAACAAAAATCTCTCACTGGATTAGTGCTGTGTTCGACGATGTATCCTCACAGAGATTTGACGATACGAGTATCGATACGGCTGGCCCTGTATCGATATTGTGGCACGTGTGCAGCAGTGGACCGCGCTTAATTTGAATACGAGAGCACCGTTTAAAATTGAGTCGAAAAGTGCACAATGTAAACATGAAACATATGCCATTACCTATATTGTACTGTGGTACAGTTATGGAGGCCCTTCATAATGCAGAGGTCAGCTGCCTGCTCTGCCAATAGTTAGAAATGGCACTATAGTATCAGTATGCAGTGTTTAATAAACAGCTGTTTTACTAAATTCTGCTGAGGTGAAATTCTGTGCAGTCCTGTATCGTATTGTGGCCTCTGTATCGTGATACGTATCGTATCGTGATACATATCGTATCGTGACTTTGCCGGTGATACACAGCCCTACTCTGGATTATTACAATTAATGACAAAAGGAATGTTTGGGAATGTAAACTGATATTTCCTACTGATACACTACAGCAAAAGATAGAAATAACTGGCTTAAAACCTTTTTTATTATTATTTATTTATTTTTTGGTGAAAATACTAATGGCCTAAGACTTTTGCAGTACTGTGTGTGTATATATATATATATATATATATATATATATATATAGTATCAATGGCTAATGTATAAAAACTGTGGGAAAAAAACTGTGAGAATGAACTGTAAGCGTCACAATGATTAATAAGCCCTTCATAATCATTTCCCATGTCACAACACATAGTCAATCATCATTGGGCAATTTTTGTTAATGCATCAATTTACAGTAGGTGGCAATAATATTCTCTGATAAAATAAATGTAAAAGTCTGCAGATAAATGCTTGAGTTTCAGATGTGAGCAGCAAGGTCAATACTGGATGAGCCAGTTCAAAATAAAACAGTGTAAATGCTCCGGACTCTCCAGCACGACATTTAGTCACAAGGCGTTTGTCAATATCTGTCTCTTTCTGCCCGCTGGATTTCGGTGTATATTCGGCATGTTTCATGAAGTCCCCGTCCATCACACCACTGGAGCCCGCCATACTGCGGCTGCTGATGACAGAAACAGCTACGGAAGCACCAGAGGGACAAACTTCGAGCTACTGCGGGGTCTCGCGATTCCAAAACAGAGCAACGCGTTTCTCAGACCCCAGTTTCATGTGCCCTAAACTTCCAAAACAAGCTGTAACTGCCAAGCATTATATTTATTTATCATGTATTTAAAAAGCTTTCACGCACTATGTTGCATATGAATACTGGTGTTTAGCGGGGGATCCCACACAGAGAGACTTGCCATTAATGCCATTACCAACTCGCTGCCACTCGCTGCCAGTGATCAGCTGTTCTGCTGCGTGTAAAGGTCAGGAATCACGCGACAGAATATACTATAGTATGGATCGATCTACACATCTAAATCATAATTCCGGAGGAAACGGGGAATATAGAGGAAATCCAGTAAATCAAAGGAGCAATATGACGGACAGCGAGCAAACGAATGAATATTATTGTGAGAATAACTCACCTAGTACCTCAAACCCTCAGAATCAGCCAACATAGTAAGTACAACAGTACAATATCATGAATTTGACTCTCATGCAAGGTGTTTACGTTTGCTATAGCCTAATATTATATATATTTATAAAATAATAGGATATTATAGAAATAAATATTTTACATTTAAATGTATAAAAATGGTTTCCCTTTAAATATTTTACGTTTTAACAGTATTCAGATGTAGCCTATCGTTATTTCGATGTGTCTGAGCTAACGATCGGTCATTTTGGTGATAAAATCGTGTATTTATTTATCTAGTTCCTTCTCGGTTTATAAACCAGCAGATACTTTAGTTTCACTTTCGTTTCTGTCGAAACACTCTGGAGAAGCGAAACTTCCAAAACGAATATTTACCATGGCAACTTCCAGAATTATTGTCACGCTCACATTTTCCAATCTCTCTCTCGCTCGCGCTCTTTTCGAATCATTACATAGGGATAGTAAATAACAACATTAAAAACATATTTTAAAAAAAAACACAACCCGATAAATAAATTGTAAAATATCATTAAAAACAAAACAAACAAACAAATAAATAAATACAACAATCCTCTGGTGGACAGTACATAGGCCTATAGGAGGTTTCCACACATATATAAAATAAAAACAGGTCAGGCAGTTTTTTGAGTAAATGTCTTGACTAAACTTGAACATGTTTGCCATCATTATACCAGCTATTTATAGCTTATAATATAACACTTATTTAAATGTATTGTATACTAAGTACATCTATAATTTCTTAAGTTCTATCTAAATGTTTATCTTTATTTACATTTTGTACATTGTTAAATATCATGTATTAACTAACTTGTCATTTTTAGTAAAGGAGTAAACATATGCTGCTATCACATGACAAAACTTTAATAAACAAACATCATCAACTATGTAAATAAAATCGACAAATGATCAGGCAATGCAGCCATAATTGTTCAAATAGTATAGTTCTTTGTTATAATGCAAAGTCATAGTAAATTAATATGTGATATTTTTTAATGATGTGAGAAGTTTTTTGTAATTTAAATATTGTGTCACCATCAAATATGATTGGGATGGAGGGAAGTTCCCCAGAGTTGTTTGTGAAAAATTCTGACTTTACGTAAGAAAAGATGACTTGTGCCCCACCTTGGTTTTGAGACATTGCTGGCATATGAGACTGATAAGTTCACAACATGGATGGAGGATGAGCTTGAAAACAAGTGTACCTAATGCATGCCATTTGCCCACAGTGCTGATGGATACGCCAAGATACCACCAAATGAATCAAGACGGAGCAAACTGCAGAGGAGTAAGTCATGACACGACTGTTGTTGTATTTTCCATCTTCATGTGATCCAGATGTTTCTCTAATTGTTACCATCAAGTGCAATTCCAGCATGTTTATTTGTGTCTGCAAGAGAAGACAGATTTGTTTTGTTGTTGTTGTTGTTGTATCTTAAGGCCTGAATACACTGCACGGCTTTAAAACACTAGACATCATGCTAACTTTGTAAAATGTTACAGAGAAAACTCAGCATAATACACTATAAATGACTGAATTGTTCTAAAGACAGCAAACTCACACAGAAACATGTGCATCATTGCAAGGGGAAGCGTGATGAATGAAAACAAAATGTGATCTAAAATTAGCTTAAAATATCAAACATGTTTGATCTCCTCTGACTGGATGGAATCACAGTGTAAAGCTAAAACTCTTATAAATAAAGGTTCCAAAAGGGGGGTTTGCGGTGATGCAATAGAAGAACCGTTTTGGGTTCCCTTAAGAACCTTTCAGTCAACAGTTCTTAAAAGAACCATGTTTCTCTTAGTGTGTGAAGTACATTTTAAAAATCAAAACAACCTTTTTACTATAAAACCTTTTTTTTTTTTTTTGCATTGGAAAGTGTTAGACAGACATACAGACAGATAGATTTAATCCAAAAATTATAGTTTGCTTAACATTTACTCACCCTCAGGCCATCCAAGAAGTAGATGAGTTTGTTTCTTCATCAGAACAGATTTGGAGAAATGTAGCATTACATCACTTGCTCGCCAATGGATCCTCTGCAGTGAATGGGTGCCGTCAGAATGAGAGTCCAAACAGCTGATAAAAACATCACAATAATCCACAAGTAATCCACACCACTCCAGTCCATCAGTTAACGTCTTGATGTTGCAAAAGCTGTGTGTTTGTAATAAAAAAAAATCATCATTAAGTGGTTTATAACTTTAAACGGCTGCTTCCAGCTAAAATATGAGTCCTCTATCCATAATATTTTCTCCAGTGAAAAAGTCATTTTGTCTGAATCGGGAGAGAAATATGCACAGATCAAGCACCGTTAATAACGTTAAAACAGTCCAAAATAGTTCTAAGCAAATATGTCGGTGGATTTTGATTTAAGAGAACAACAGGGATGGACTTTTTCACTGGAGGAAGCGCTATTATAGATTATAATGAACTCTTATACTTTGGCCAGAAGCAACTCATCTTAAAACCTCTTAATGATGGGTTTGTTTCTTACAAACATGCAGCATTTCTCTGGACAAGATGTTAACTGATGGACTGGAGTGGTGTGGAATATTGTGATGTTTTTATCAGCTGTTTGGACTCTCATTCTGACGGCACCCATTCACTGCAGAGGATCCACTGGTGAGCAAGTGATGTAATGCTAAATTTCACCAAATCTGTTCTGATGAAGAAACAAACTCTACATCTTGGATGGCCTGAGGGTGATAACATTTTAGCTAATTTTCTTCTTGCGTGAACTATTCCTTTAATCCAGTGGTGCTCAATCCTGTTCTTGAAGATCTACAGTACCTTCCTACGAAGTTCAGCTCCAACCCTGATCAAACACAATTTAACCAGCTAATTAAGATATTCAGGAGCGCTTAAAAATGACAGATAGGTGTGTTTGATCTGGGTTGGAATTGAACTCTGCTGGTAGGTAGATCTCCAGGAACAGTATTGGGCTCCCCTGCTTTAATCATACACTCCGTGAAATCTGTCAACTCCGCATTCCCAAAATCTGCAAACTAACTCAGACTTTTGGGGAGGAAATCTGTGGGGGAAAAAACTGGACAAAAGCTGTGTAGTGCATTCCAGCCTTTAATGTATGTCTGTCTTAAAAACTGTGTGTATTAAGTAGTCATTTATTAGCGTGCACTTTGCAAACTTCCAGTTGCCAGCCCTGAGCTTCAGCCATTGTCACACTATCCCATTTGTGTGTAGAAATGAAATGCATTTCTTTCTCTTTCTGCAGTTGCACAGGAAGAAGAGGAGAATCTGAGGAGATGGAAAGAGGAGAATCGCCCTGGTCCCATTCAGCTGGCTCCAGAGAGACTAGGTAATGTGGAGATGAAATATATGGAAGTCCTGATCTGAAAAAAAAAGACACAAAGCAAATTAACGAAACATCAAAAGTCGCTAATGTATTCACTCTCACAGGTGGTGCAGTATCACTGGCAGAAGTCAGACAGAGACAGCAGGACGAATCACGCCATTCAAAGCAGATAAAAAAGGTTTAGGAGTACCTGCTTAAAATTTCTGATTCCTTTCTCAAATACTTGTGGTGTGTTGCATACTTACAGTGCATTTGCATATCTCTACAGCTTCGAAAAGAGGAAATGGCTAAAAAGACGAGACAGGCAGAGGAGGAGGAGAATGAGAAGATGAAGGCCATGCAACGAGAGAAGGTACAGCCCAAGATATTGTTTACATTTGACTTTTTATAGCATTTCTGCAGGGCATTGTGTTACTTTCATGCATCTGCCAAACTTCATTTGGTCATCTGGCTTGTGTTTGGATTCAGTGCTTTTTTACTATGCCTTTGTAATTCAGACTTTATAACTCCAGATGTCACTGCAGGCAACATCCAAGTTATCATATTCTTTGCAATTAAATACTAGATCAGACTTCAGTCTTCAATGTTGCTGCTGCATGAGCTTTACGTGATTGATGAGTCTAATTATTTGAGCAACCACAGTTAATTTGCTAAAACACACTCCAGTCATTGTTTGGCAGTTATCATAGTGTAATCATGGTTTACTTTAGGGATCTAGGGATTGTAGATAAGCTTGGAATACTGTAATACTGGAAATGAAAAACAGTTGAAAAAAAGTTTTTAATTAGATTAGATTTAACTTTATTGTCATTGTGTAGAGTACAAATACAGAGCCAGTGAAATGCAGTCAGCATCTAACAAAGTGCAATCTGGGAATGACAAAAGAATGACAACACTATGAAAATATGTGGTTCAAAAATGGAAAAGTTAAATTAAAAATTAACATTCTGCTAAAAATGTTGGGACATAATATAAATATAATTAAACAAAATAAAGTAAATATTAAAATATTAAAATAAGTAATTACAGTATAAAGATTCTGCACTATTTAAAGTTCAATAATCAAACAATTTAATCAGTTTAATGAAAAATGTTGTATTAAATTAGAAAAATGCTAAACTTTCACTAGTGGTCTCAGATGGACAACACTGTATTTTTATATTTATATATCTCTATATGGTTACACTTTATTTTTAGGATCAATTCTCACTATTAACTACCTACTAACTATGACTTTTGCCTCAATAAAATTATAATTATTTAATCTAATTATTAATAGTTAGTAAGGTAGTTGTTAAGTTTAGGTATTGGGTAGGATTAAGGGATGTAGAATATGATCATGCAGAATATGTGCTTTATAAGCATTAATAAACAGCCTATATGCTAATAATATGCATGCTAATAAGCAACTAGTTAATAGTGAGATTTGGTCCCTACACTAAAGTGTCACCATATATATTTATTGATGGCAAATGTCCAAATGACATTGAATGTAAAGAGAAGATGTGCAGTTTAGTTATAATGGGTTATAAATGCCAAATGATCATTACACTGCAAATGACATGGTGCTTCAGTGGTGCCATTAGCTGAAGAATGAGAAAATGGCAGGAATAAGTTTAATACGTGTAGAATAATAATAATAATAAAATACTCTCCCTGGTAATAGAAAAATATGCATGCATGTGTTTGGAAAGCTCAATAAAATCAATGAATATGGAAACATCTGTGGCACTAGCTAAATAAAATTGTAAAAATACTGATTGATTGTATTCAAACAGGTTTCCCACTGTCTGCCTGGTCAGACTGCTTAAACAAACTGAGTAATGTTGCTATAGTGTCACAGAGCCACAATGTTTACATGTTGACTCAATTTACAAATGGCTTACTTATAATGTAGTTAATTTGCATATTAAGCTGAAAGAGAATAAAGTATTTTAACATCTAAAGTGCACATATCATGTTTAATGCATTGCAGGCCAATAAACTAGAGATGAGGAAAAAGCAAGACGACGAACAGAGACAGAAGCTGTACCAACACGACAAGCAAAGGTACGTCAACATTTTTCCTAGACCTTGCCAGATTTAAAGGAACACTCCACTATTTTAGAAAATAGGCTCATTTTCCAACTCCCCTAGAGTTAAACAGTTGAGTTTTACCGTTTTCGAATCCATTCAGCCGATCTCCGGGTCTGGCGGTACCACTTTTAGCTGCAGCTTAGCATAGATCATTGAATCTGATTAGACCGTTAGCATCTCGCTCAAAAATGACCAAAGAGTTTCGATATTTTTCCTATTTAAAACTTGACAAATGAGCCTATTTTCAAAAATAGTGGAGTGTTCCTTTAAGGTGTGCTTTGTTTAAAGGAGGAAGTAGGATGTTAAGCTGCACTATTGGCCATTATCCAAAAACAATAAACCTGAATGCGCAGGTTTATCCTTGGCCCAAGTTCAGTGAAAACTATGCCTTTTGTTTAGAGCCTGTGAAGAGATTCAAAACCATTGCAAGGAATTCTACAATATGCTGCTGGGAAGCTTCTGTCATCATTTACCATTGTATCATCACAAACCCATATAGCTTTATTTCCTCCACCAAAGTCACATACAAAAGAAGAAATTTGATTCTCACGCTGTTCTTTATAATACAGTGATAGCAAAATGTGACTAGAGATTAAGTTCCAATTTGGCAAAAAGTAAATAAATAAATAATCATAAAACCATTATAATTGTAGTCCATAAAAAATTCTGCACTATATTCTAAGTTTTCTAAAGTTAAACGATCACTAAGTTTTTATTCATTAACATTTTTCCCTTTTTAAATCCAAATCTTACAATTTAAATATGTGCATATTCATTTTGGCAAATTGCGATTGGTTACAAAACACAGAAAAACCATATTTGAGTTCTAGAGCTGTTTATTCATATTATAAAAGATGTTATTTTACATAGTCATAAAATATATATTATCCAATTAACATTTTATTATCTATAAAATATATATTTATATATTATTACAAAAATTAACTAATCACACAATTTTCTTGTAAATAATCATGATTAATTACACCTAACATTAAAATTTTATATCAGAAATATATGTTCACATTGAATATTCAAATTAATGTGGAAAACGTAGAAATAGCATTATTTTAAATATAAGATATTTTAAATATTTGTTAATTGAATCTATGAATGAAGGCCAGTATAGCATACTGATACTGATGCCTGTATAAAATTATTTTTTAAATTAATTTCATTGTTTTAAATGAATGAGATTTGAGAGCAGCCAAGATAGTCAGTAAAAAGGAACTTAAATTGCTCAAACAACTTACACACAGTTCGGTGTATGTTTTTTTTTTTTTTGTAATTTCTGGGAGAAAGAAAATCATATGGGTTTGGAACAACATAAGGATGAGTAAATGATGACAGAATTGTCATTTTTTGAATGAACTATCCCTGTAATCACAATTATGTTTCTTCCTCCTGCAGGAAAACCGAGGATTTTCTTCAAAGAATTGAGAGGTCCAGCACTACCGTTTCTATGACAGCAGGCAATTCCATACCAGCATCATCCTGGGTAAGACAGAGGCCAAAAATGCACTGCGTGCTCCATAGGCCTGAGTTCAAGCCTCTTGTGCATAGCTGTGGCACTGAGGTTACAGCCCAAGGCACTGGAATAATTCACACCAATTGATCTCTCTTTGATACATGTTTTCAAAGCAAACAGCCCTCACTCGGGAGCTTTCATTGACATGGCATGTTGGACTGCAGCAATAGGGCCTTTCGCACCGCAGGAACCTTTTCATAGTACCAGAACTAATTGTAGAACTACCCACTTTTTGGCGTTTTCGCACCGCCGGAACTGGGTGCGATTTTAGTACCGGATGTCCTTGTACTTTAGTACTGTACATTTAGTTCTGGAACTAAAGCGGTGCGAAAGGCCCTAATGAGTCGGCCTGCTGCAGAGCTTGGTCCCCTCCAATTATCTCCTCATTAGCCTCACACCGGAGATCGCTTACTGAGTCCATCATAGAGCTTCCTCAGTTGTAAACATGCAGACTTCCATTTTTACGGTCAGCCAGCGCAAAGACGCAAGTATTGCTTCTGAATGGTGAGGCAAACAGAGTTCAGGGGACTTCCCAGAGTTCACAGAGCATGTCTCACAAAAGGCAGAGAGGGGTCTGTGAGAATGCAACAAAAAGAGAGACTGGGGTGGAATAACCTGTATGGTTTTATTGAAAGTACCTGGAAAGGAGCCAGTGTCTGAACCTGTGACATAAGCAGGCTGACAGGATGCGTTTAGGCGTTAATTACAGCTAACCCACATGATTTCACTTGAATTTTAAGCAGGTTCGGTATGCTTCAGAATGCTCTTGTGGTCACCAAACAATGAGATATAGATCATGCTGTGCCTGTATTTTATTATTTTTTTTGGCAAACCTTTTCTAAAAAGTTCTGCTTGAAGAATCATTAAAAGTATGAAAATCTCAACCATGCTGGAGGCAGCAGAATTGCCTTTCATTAGGGGGTAATATTTAATCCCTAATTCTCAACTGGGATTATATAAATCCCTATTATATAAAGTCAAATCAAACGCAAATTAGCAAAATAATTGAAAGACATTCAGGACATCATAACAAGATTTTTAATGCTTTTGAAAGAAGTCTCATATGCTCACCAAGGCTGCTTTTAAAACAGTAATATTGTGAAATATTATTACAAGTTAAAATAACAGTTTTGCATGTTAATTTATTTTAAATTGTAATTTATTCCTGTGATGCAAAGATGAATTTTCAGCATCATTACTCCAGTCTTCAGTGTCACATGATCCTTCAAGCAACATTTCTTACTATTATCAAATTTGAAAACAGTGCTGCTGAATATTTTTGTGGAAACCATGCAAGTTTTTTTTCTTCTTTTTTTAGGATTCTTTTAATTAAAAGTTCAAAAGAACAGCATTTATTTGCAATTGGAATCTTTTGTAACATTATAACTGTTATATACTGCCACTTTTGGTCAACTAAGGTTCCCTTAATACATCATTAATTCATATTGCATATATACATCATCTGCAGCATGCCAGTCTATTAGCAGCGTACAATTTCCTACTTCCTCCCCAGCTCCACCTGTCTAGATCTGGTACAGGTATAAATATACTGTCTGTCATGGCAAATATATTCAATATTCAAATTGAGAATATTTTTTCATTGCAAAGCAATGTCATATATTACCACACATTTATTGTTTTGTAGTGACAAAAGTGACTACAGTGTCATCACTGACAGAGGCCTAGAATTTCACGTAATGAAATATATCAAATGTTAGGTAACAGGTCAAATAGAGGAATTTGCTGCAGGGATTTTTTTGACACATTTAGTGGCAATTTGCCCTAAACCCTGGTTAATTTCTGACCATGACTGGTGGGGATTGAGGGCGGGGCTGACCATGAGAGGTTTAAGGGCTGCCTCTTATGTTGTACAAACCACAAAAAGTGGCATCTGACAGCACTGTTAAAAATTGGAATTGTCTCGTGTCAAGCAAAGAATGTTTTGTTGTGCGGCTTTCAAAACTGGTCTGCAATTGTTCCCTGTTTGAGACTTTTGAGGACTTCCCTCTGGATGACTAATGGGGAAAATCCCTCTAATAGACAGATCGTGCATTAGGACTGTAGGGCCATGGTACACAACACATGCAACAGCGTTTTGAACAGGCACTGGCTCTCTCGGCTTACCTGGAGAGGAGGCCCTTCGATTGTGCTTTCTTTTGCTGTATTGACTTAAGTGGCTGGACAACCTCCAGGCCAAGTAATGAAACGCTCCAATCTAAATGTCGTAAGCCCGCCGATCAAAGTGTTTGTGGAAAGACGGGTTCTTGATGTGGTTTTGTGGCCACTGAGAATTGTTATGCTTTCAGTGATGCTTCCACAAGACAGATTAATCTCCTCCATATCCTCTGTTTGTGCAAAGGATCCTTTGTATTGGCTTCCCAGGATGCCAGGCCCAGGTCGTCCCACCTATTCCCCTTACTCTTACGCCATTTCAAACAGAGCAGCCCCTGCCTGCTTTCCCCGGGCCGTCTGACCAAACACACAAAGGATCTCTTCAGCTTCCAGGCTCTCTGTTCGCCTCTCCTTACAGAGTCTTTCTGAACAGGGCCATGAGAATCTTAGAGAAACATCACAGCTGACACTCAGTTTTGCACTGAAATATGTAATGGGCTCACCCTCAGGGGTCGTACTGTATGGACAAAGGCTGGGATCCAGTGTGGATTTGTCTGCTCTGTTTAGTTGTTAGATAGTAAAACCCTCTAAGAGAAATTTCGTATTTAAAGCACTACTGTACACCCTAATATTTAAAAATTAAACAAGAAATATATTATTATTATTGCAATAATACTATTATACTGTAAAATAAATAAAAGTATTATTATTATTATTATTAAACTGTATATAGAGCAGCATTTACTGTGAACCATTTTGCTCTGAGACACTGAAAACAGCAGATCATGAGCTGCTCACGTGTAACTGAACACAGTGGCATGCTAAGCAGCCAATTATCGTCTAATTATCAGTGAGTATCGGTTTGCTGTTTTTCATAGTATTTGGTGGACTGATTCATGAAATACATATACTTTAAATGGATTTGAAAATGCAGTCTTTTTTCCCCTCAGATTTAAACAATTCACATAGGTCAAACGTCAGGTCATAAAAAAAGGAAAACCGTATAAATATGGAATAATCACATCCCTGATAGTATTAAGTTGTTGTTCAGAACTTTATCAATCTTAAAGTTCTGGATGTCGATAACTAGTTTACTTGCTTATAACTGCCTCTGATGTCTTTAGCCTTGCGAATTTTGTCAAATCCATTGACTGGTTCTTCTTCAAGTTTACCACCCTTTGTTTTAATTCTTAATTACCTTCTTAATATTTTCCCCTGGACTCCCCAGTGTCCTTGCTCTTAGAAGGTTCGTAAAGCCAACCAGTCAGATTAGAGACATTTTTATGTGTAGTATGCATAAGATCACCAGTGATCAGGATCGTTCCACACACATACAAATGAGCATATCTGGCCATGCTTCAAGGTATTTTTAAGTGTCTTGCACCATGAGAATTGCATTTTTAATACAGTGTCAAGTTCAAAATGGCGAAACTTCAAAAATGCAACTTGAGATGCAAGCATTCTATTCCCTTATGTTTTTGAACACAAAAATGCATCGTTTGTGAACAGCGACTAAAGGTGAGGCCACATTAGTGAAATTTCATGAGCAAAAAAGGTCCACTGTCTCTTTTCAATAGTGTAGAGATGTAAGAAGCACCACTCACACAGAAGTCACTTCCAAACCAAGCAGGTTTTTGTTTCTCAATGTGGCGAATTAATGTGACCAACATGAAAAGGAGCAAAACTTGTGGAAGTTTTTTGCCCTCACGTGAAACTCCCAGTCGTGCAGATTCCTATTAGAATAACTGGATTTCGCACACAAAATTTCGCAGAGTGACGACAAATGTGACCACAGCTTAAGAAACATGTTTAATCATGTATTTTTCAGGGCATTCAGGAAACCCAGCATAGTCAAAAAAAAAAAAAAAAGGGACACATTCCTAGATTTCATTGTGTGGCCACTATTTCTTGACAGGCTAAATGTCATGAGTACAGGGAAGCCAGAAGAGAAGAGGAGAATGCTGACCTGCTTAAGAAGAAAGAGGAGCAGAGGAGAAAGGTAAAGAACAGAGGTGAAACAGATGGACTGAACTTACAAACATCACCTCCACTTTTGGTTAGCAGGAACACCACAGCTAAATGTCTGGGCTTTGCCAAGAAAAAGAACTAGCTCTGCCTAGCATGTGCTATTGATTAGCATGTTCTCGGTTATAGAAGGTAGTCATGGATGGATAACCGTAGGTGTTTTCCAGCTGGCTGTATAGTGGTATTTCTGTGGCTTTGAATGCCTCTATGTCGGTCAGACATGGACTTAATTCACTGATATGCATCGAAGACAAAAGGTCAGCCTGACCTATCATGTTGATATTGTTGTTTATTCATGCAAATATGCAATTAAATTGTTATAGCTACAGACCTTGAATGCCTTAACATAAGTAGAGGATACATTTCTGTTGGAGATGAAATTTTCATTAACTTAATATTTCCAGGCAGAAAGTTTGGAGGAAAAACAAAAACAACAGGAGGAGGACAGGAAGAGACGGACTGGAGCTGACCATCGGCGGTATGGGCGCCTAATCATGACAGACCGCTAAAAAAGCCATGACTGTCAGAATTAATAAAGGAGTCTGAGACCACTAGTAAAAATGCTTATATTATGCATTTTTCTAATTTGATAATTACAAATTATATTGTCAACATTGCAATTTGAATGAAAAGTTCAATTGGAAAAATAGCATGAATTTCAGAATCCCTTAGTATTTTGGTTGCTTTAATGACTCCACAATGACTGTGTGAACTCCACAAGCTTGTGTAAAACCTGATAATCAGGTTCTCCAGCATGATTTGAGATGATTCAGAGGAGCATTGTGTGTTAAAATGATGCCAAAAGAAAGAAAGAAAGGGAAAAAAAACATCATTAACCTGTCATGTATGAGCAAATATATTTGTAACTGCATATTTGTAATTAACATTTAAAATGTTCTCTTTAAATGTAGCATATTGAATAACACACTACAGTTAAAATTATAATTACTTTACATGTGTTTAGCATGTTACTCAACATATCAAAATAAGTGTACTTTAAAGCATGACAAAAGATTATTAAAACATAATGAGGTAAAATGTACTGTAAAGTAAAATGTTACATTTGAAATGATTACAAAGTGTGTTAGGAAACTCTTTTAGTACACTTAAGTGGCCTTTTATTAGGCTACATTAATATTATATTATCTGTTAGTATTTTTAATATACTTTACGATTTTAAGCACACTTCAAGTGCACATTCAATACATTTAAGCATATTTCTTTTTCGCAAGGTTAGAACCCTAGAAACAGTGCAAAACAGTTCTTTATTTTAAATGTATCGAAATCCTAAAATGTGTTGTACAGTTCTAAATTAGAAAGATTTGGAATTTCTACGTGGTCTCAGACATCTGAACACCTCTGTACTAATCAAGTAGGAGTACTTCATTGCTCAGAACATGTTGTGAACCGTTCTGATGATGGATTACTCTCTTCAGGGTGAACATGACTTTCCTAGACCGTCTGGAGGCGAGTAATTCAGGTAGGGTGCCTAAACCCGTGACCCAAACCCCTGAAAGCAGTAATATCTGTCTGGATGATGACGATGATGATGACAAACCACAGGATGCAGCCCTATCCACAGTACCCAACCCATCACAGGTCCACACAGACAGTGCAGAGGAGGATGGTGAGTCTTAAACTAGATTTATATGCATCTCCCATGGCACTGTGTGTGTGTTTAGGTCTGTTTCATTTCACAGCACCTCTGGAAACGTCTCCATTGCGTCGACTTCTCGAGTCTCAAAGCCTACGCTTGTGTGCGATATTAAACAGATCTCACACCCCCGGTGCTGGACGGCATAGCACATTGTGTAAATAAAAATGTCCCGGCACTCCAGACACGTGATGCTTTTAGATCCCACTGTAATATACAAACTGCCTGCATGAGAGGTTAATGTAAATGAATCAGTAAACGACAAACTCATTAGCGGCAAGCTGCATGGTTGATGTGTTTTTACTCTAGATTGTTTTGAGGTCCAAATTGCCTGCTGTAAAGTAAACTCATTTAGCCTGAGAGAAGCTTGAATTACTGGCTTGCCTGTCTGACAACAGATTCATCAATTGTATGTATGAAGCAACTGCTGCAAAAACATCGGTTAGCTCTTCGAGATCCAGAATGGCTGCATTGTCATTACTTGGAAATGTGCCATTCTGTCTTCAGACTTGCCCTGCTGTAGTGTGGGTTAAAGAAATAGTCCATCAAAAAATGAAAATCAGTCAGTATTTACTTACCCTCATGTCGCTGTAAACCCGTGTGCTATTATTTTTTCTGCAGAACACACAGGGAGAATCATAAAAAGACAGCATTCATACAGCATGTCTGTCACACTCTAAAAAGGACTTGTGTCCTTGAGCACCAGTGCACCGTTAAAGGTATGTATTACTACTCTAAGGTACTAACATTCTCATTTTAGAGGTAAATAATGTACAAAGATACCCCTTCAATGGTACTGCCCCAGTGACAAGCTGGTGTATCCCCTTTTTGCAAATTTTTTCTTAACAGTGTATTATGGTACAGGTTGGACTTCAATAGCATCATAAAAATGTCATTGGTTCCTTGCCCTGCTGTAGTGTGGGTTAAAGAAATAGTCCATCAAAAAATGAAAATCAGTCAGTATTTACTTACCCTCATGTCGCTGTAAACCCGTGTGCTATTATTTTTTCTGCAGAACACACAGGGAGAATCATAAAAAGACAGCATTCATACAGCATGTCTGTCACACTCTAAAAAGGACTTGTGTCCTTGAGCACCAGTGCACCGTTAAAGGTATGTATTACTACTCTAAGGTACTAACATTCTCATTTTAGAGGTAAATAATGTACAAAGATACCCCTTCAATGGTACTGCCCCAGTGACAAGCTGGTGTATCCCCTTTTTGCAAATTTTTTCTTAACAGTGTATTATGGTACAGGTTGGACTTCAATAGCATCATAAAAATGTCATTGGTTCTCACAATCAAACCATTTGATTTCATTTGAGAGAGTTTATTGTGCTTTTATAATTACAGTGTCCTTTTTGGAGTGTTAAAATAAAAAGAGTTGCGTGAGGATTCAAAACTTCATCTGTGTTCCACTGAAAAAATAACAGCATTACAGGTTCAGAACAACATAACAGTGAGTAAATAATGGCAGAGGCCATTTCTCCTTTGATGGACTGATCATTTTAAAACCAAAAATTAAAAAAACAATCTTATACTGAATTTACTTCCTATCTGGGAATGGAGAACTATTGCTTATTCTATTCTGACAAACAGTCATGGAATTGTATGATTCATACATATTGCTTTAGCCTCCTTACTGGGATTTGCAAATGACTTATGGTCCGATTCAGCCTGAATCTAGCTCCATATGTGGAGATCTTCACCTTTTTTTTGCCAAGAGGTGTGGCTGTTACGTCCAGATTTCCCATCTGTGTGATGGTGTGAGACTAATGTGCCATTCACGTTGAAACAGTCTGCATATCTTCTCAGATGCCTGATGACACATTATGTTTGTGTGTTCAGCATCACTTACATCTGAATCACCGCAAGGACCAAAGGTTGAGGTTTGGGGTCAGCCAGGTCCTCCGATTCTCAAACTCACACCTCTGTCTCTGATTACCAGAAACATTAGATGTGTTTGTCTCAGAACCAAGAGAGTCTCAGAATGACCTTTCGTCTGGCTGCGGTTCTTCTTACTCACGGACCTGCCCTGGCTTATAATATTTCAGAACATGAACACCATAAGTACAGTTAACAGGCTGAAGGATGAGTTATTAGATGCTTTCTATGTTTAACGCAAGACACTACAGGTGAATAGAGTAAACATTAACTCAAAGATATCACCATACTTTCCCCATTTGAATAATAACAGTAAATTAAGACAATTGTTTTCTTTTACAAGTTTTCTGAAATCCACTGTTTAAATATGCAATGAGGCATTGTCTAATTTTATATGCAATTATTTGCATATATTTTCATAACAGAAATGTGAATATTGGATAAAGCCAGGTTCAAAATCATTGTTTCATTTTGTTGACATATTAAAGCCAAAGGTGTTTACAAAGGGGATTTTGGATACCTCTTTTTATTACTCTATAAATCAGAAAATACTATCAACAGTCAGAAAAAAAAGAAATTTTCACCATGTTTTTAGGCATTAAATGTCAAATATATATCATGCAAATTAAATCTGAACAAACCCCTCTACAAAAACCTTCAGAATATAGATGGAAATAAAACTGGAAAGTGCATTTAAGGGCTACTGAAGTGGAGATTTCTGGCTAGAATTTTTTTTTTTTTTTTTTTGAGAAAACAGCCTTTAAAGATATGTATTGTAATTGAAATCCACAGATGCAAATAGATCAAGTCGAATAATAAATGATCAAATGTGTATTTTGGATGTGTTCTTTCTATTAGCCTGATGGAAGTCAAGTTATCAAAGCGAAATAGCCCAAAATCTCAAAATTGACCACTGCCTCTAATGTAGATTCAAACTGTATATTTTTAAAGGTGAAGTGAGTAATTTCTGCCCCACTAATATCACTGAATGTAACTGCTAAAATAATGACTTCTATTTTCCGAACAGCTCCACCCAAAAATCAACCTACCAATGAATTACTTATACAGTTGGTGATATTAAACTGTGATAAAAAATACCCACTTCACCTTCAATTATGTTTCTGTAGCTCAACTGCTAAAGCATAGCGCTAGCAATGTCAAGGTTGTTGGTTCGAGGCCCTAGAAATACATATAGCTTACCAAGAAAATGTACACCTTGAATGAACGCTTCTTTCTCTTTCAATTACTGTCATGAGTATTCTGCTCCTTTCTCCACTTGCCTAATTTAATTTATTTTCTGTTGGCTTTTATGTCCAATGACGGCCTTCCTATCTATCCGGCATTCTTGGGATCTGTGTGTATGGGACATCTGTCTGCCATAGTGCTAGTTTTGTCCATTAGTGTGTGGTTTGTGTGGGATCAAGATGCAGTTGTTTGCGGAACAGGCTGGCAGAAGCACTGCGGTGGAGCCGAGTTCTCCCACCCTGTCTGTCCTGCTCCATGAACCAGATGAACCAGCAGGGAGGTCAATCTTGCGCTGCAGCGCTGCATAGCTGCACATTATTAGAAGGATGTGTGTGAGAGATTTAGCATCCAAAGTCTCTAGGAACAAGTGACCATGTTGCTCATAATTTTTTGGCAGCCTCACGCTCGCATTTTGTGCATGGAAATGCTAACGTAGAGTGATTCAGCTATGGAGATATTAGTTAAACTACTGTACATTAACAATTTATTTGTGTTTTTCCTTGTAGATCATGACCATATGTGGACCCTGATCAAACTCCAGAATAGGTTTCCATACTATGAGCGAGATATGCTGGAGGAGATCGTCAAACAGTGCAATGGCAATTACCAGCAAGCATATGAGCTGCTTGATGTGTAAATACTTTGTCGTTTTGATCCTGAGTGATAGATTGATCCCAATGTTGTTTTGTGAGTAAATAATGATTTTTGGGTGAAGTGTCCCTTTAATTAATGAAGGTGGTGAGCTCTAACTAGTGTCCTTTGAACTGAAACAAAAACTTATTTTTTTAGTTTGTGCAGTTATTTTTGCTCTGACACTTAGTCACAGAGAAAAGAAATCAAAACAATGAATCAAGATTTGAGTCTGCTGTGGGAACATTTATGGATCCCATGAGTACAATTCACAGGCTAAATGATGTGCGTTCACAAAATCCAGAGGCTAATTTATAATGAGGTAAAGGACTAGTGGAATTCTGAACTCATCCACCATAGGGATGGACAGTGAAAAACCCAACCATCATACAGATCATTAGCTTCCTGAATGCTGTAAAGGTTTCTGCTAAATCTGCATGTATTTAAAAAGGCTGCCTCTATGTATGTGAAATAGAGTGCAACAGTCGGGTTCCTGAAGTAAAAATCCCATCCATTTTCTCCATGGAGAAATTATTTTTATATTTTAACAATAACTTATAAACTGTTAATGGCAGACCTACTTTGAGCTACGAGGTTGTTAAAGGGATAGTTCACCCAAAAATGAAAATTTGATGTTTATCTGCTTACCCTCAGGGCATGTGATTTTGACTCAGTCACAGAGTGCAGGTTCAAGTGTGGCCAAAACATCAACTTCTATATTCCGCAGCACAATTTTCTTGCATGCTCTTCAAAGGTCTTTACCCTGCTTAGTGAACAAAATAATGCGGTAGATTTTGTGTGAATTGCAATATTGTAGCTACCTTGTGTTTTTGTTGAACCACGATCAATCATGTTCCTGCACAGGAAAAGTTTCTCATGTAAATGTGTTCGCTGCATTAAACATGCCGTTTCCTGTGACAGCTTCCCTGTCTTTTGATGAGCGTATTTTTTGCGAGTGTGTTTTCCTGTGTGTGGTGTGGAGAGGTAGTTGTGGAAAGAGCGGTTCCCAAGGTAACCCAAACTCAAAGGAAACTGTTTTTTTTTCTGACACACGATACAATGCAACATTTCCGAGAGGTGTTGTTCTGGGTCACTGAAACTAAGAGGGATCACACTGCAACGTCATATCGCACAACTCCGATGACCCACAAATCAGAACTGTTGGTAGGTCTGCGAGACCCTGATTACCTCAGCAGCATTCAGGGGGATTTCCTGTGGGTGGTTCCCCATCTGAATTAGGTCACAGCATTACCCATATCACCCAAGAATTCTGGGGGAAAAATAATACAATCTACAGACGGCAATAAACCACAGCATACACCCAGCAGATCTGGGGTCCATTATCCATTGGTGTCGAAAAGACAAATATATTGATTCTCTATGTTTTTCTCTTTGACCATTTTCCAAGCATTGTGAGGTTTCAGTTTAAGACTCATGTAAGTTGCCCTTTCACGCTTTTATTATTCCAAGGTCTTGTCTGAGAGAATGAGTCAAGAAATGCAGCTTTGCTTTATAGAAAAATAAAACCGGTGAGATCGCACAAGCTCTCGTGTCTGCGAAAGGTAGACTTTTATCGCTAGGGACCGCATCAGTTTTCCAACAAGACCGTACATACAGGGTGTAACATTTGCTTGTGTGCTGATTGAAATATTAGCCATCTCGTCTGTTGGACTGGGGAGAGGAGGATACTTCAGTGAACTAGGAAAACATGCCACTCGCAGGGCTGTAACATGTAGAGATGTAGAGAAGTATCGTCACAGTCAACCACAACTGAGTCACAGTGCTTCCTGGGGAAAATGGGCTCCACGAGACAAGGCACGCCTTGGCTGCTGGCTGACAGCGCTGACAATCCTCGTTCGCTCTCACACGCGCAGACACAAACAAATAAATAAACTAGCTCCAGCACAACAATATTCACGTATGTTACAGCTCCACTGAGAATTGGGTGCCTTTGAAATATTCGCTCTAACTGTTATATATGGTATGATTAAGCATTGGGAAATCATGCCAAAGGGTGATTCAGTTTATTCTATTGATGGAAGATACATTTGTAATACAAAGCACTATGTAGTTGACCACAAATAGACAGCCTGCTATTATACTGAAAAGATTTATTATAGTGATACAAATCATATATAGAACTGTTTAGCTCCTTTTTCCCTAAAAAGTCATTTATCTGAAGTAGGAACACTCCCTAAACAAACAGCTTAAACCAGCCTCAAAGTAACAGGGTTGACAATTTTATGGTCTAAACTGACATTGTGCTCAAGGTCATGATACTATATGGAGAATTCATTAATGTTGACATTTCTGCAAATACCTACTTTTCAGTTATCAGTGGTTTACTAAATTAAATCTTGGTAACAGGGTTAACATTTTATATAGACTGTTTCCTGTTGTGTTAAACACTGTATGAAAAATTGTCTCGTCTAATAGTTATTTGTTGAAAGGACATAAATTGTATAAGCAACTGTTTGTGGTTTAGCTCTTTTCCCACCAAAAGTAATTAATCTGAAGCAGCAATACTCCCTAAAAAAGTCTAAAAGGTAACAGGGTTGACATTTTCATGGTTTCCCTTACCATTATATGCAGGGTCATGATACTATAAGGAACGCTAAACGCCCCGTGGAAATGTCTTGTCTAAGTATTTGTCAAACACAAGTTGTATAAATACAGAGTTCTGGCATGAAACTCAGCGCAGTCCGATAGGTCTAGCTCAATCCGACCTGGCGACATCATTGTCACATGTCAGCTGATTGGTTCTCTCCTGTATCGGTAGCCAATGAGCTCGCTGCTCAATATTCAAATACCTGGCTTTTGTTTGCTGTAGCAGTTGGCAGTGCACTTCAGAAACCCTCCACCTTGCCCAGCTCCACCTGTATAGATCTGCTACGGGGTGATTCATGTATGCTATATGGGGGTTATTCATATGTGTTATATGTGCAGCAGCAGTATTTCTTACATGCTTACAGCAGCATGTTGTGGATGTATTGGCAGTAGCAAGTCTCGGTACTTGCTCTGCCGCAGCAGCAGCAGCGTAGCAGATCTATTCCACCAAGACCAAATACATTAACATTGTCATGTGCATTACCATGCCAATCCCTCCGAGAGTTGTCATGACAGAAATATGATTTTTGTTTAGACCTCTTTTTTTAACCAAGGTCTTTTTATTGAGAAAGCAAGAAAGATGCAAGTATGTAGGTTAATATATTTTTTCCCCCAAAAGTCGTTCATCTGACTTGTTAATACTCCTTAAATGATACCGGGTTAAAAGGTAACAGGATTGACAGTTTCATGGTTTAACCTGACATTATGTGCCTTTTGCTCAAGAACATGATTCTTTAAGGAAATAGAATTTATTTGTTGACATTTCTACAAATGTCCACTTTCCAGTTATCAGTGGTTTTACTACATAAAATCATGGTAACAGGGTTAATATTTTATATAGAGAGCCTGCTGTTCTGCTAAATGCTGTGTGGAAATTTGTCTTGTCTAGTTATGTGTTAAAAGGACAAATTGTATATTTAAGTATTTTGGTTCAGATATTCTTTCCTCCATGAGTAATGCATCTAAATATACTTCCTGCTGTAAAATGTGTAAACCAGCCTATGACAGTTTTCTGGTCTTTGCTGGTTTAGCTGGTAGAGTAACCCAGTCTGAGAAGTGCCCAACCTGAATGCTCTTGTACTGCACTTTGTCAAGTTATTTCGATTGTGTTTATTTTTACTCATGCAAAAGTAGTTTAGGAGAAATATCAGAGACAATATGTCACATTTAAATAAAACATGTCTTAGAACTGCACAAAGTCTCCTGAGCTATGAAAGAGCAACCTCTGAGCAAGAAAACTGCCAAAGTAGTTGACGATGAAAACTCTGGGAAACAGCATCAACAATGATGATATGACAGATTATATCCCACATGTTTAAGCCGTCATGAGGGTGCGAAGCCAAAATACGGTGTACTGGTTGGAAATCTGTCACCATGTTAGCTTAACTGTCATGAAACAGCTTGAGGGAAGACTGAGTAGTGATGAGTGCTCTTTACTACACTACGATGATGTCCTTCTGTCCTGACGGGACCTTAAGAGAGGGGTATAGACTAGGGACCTGACGCCACTCAAAGTCCTCGCAGCCCATGTAATTTAACACTCTAATTATGGCCAATATTATGTTTTGCTGGTGTGTTTTTTTTATCTTGACTGTTTCCCTGCTGAGGCTTGGCCCTTTCCCAAACTGAAGTCACTCTACATGGAACCTGCACAGCTGCAAGACAAGCAAAATATTTGCTTTCTCTGGTCTGGCACTGGCACAAAACCCAAGACTATATAGCAAAAGCAATGGCTCTGCCTGCTTACAAACTCTCTGCTAATACCCACAGATTGGCGTTCAGACAGCCCACTCTGGACAAAACATCCTTCTCTGACTCCCTCTCTCTCTCTCTGGCTTCTCACGGGTAACACAAGATCTGAGCTACACCATGCCCCGATGAACTTCCTCTGCCCCAGGCCTGCATGTCACTCGAACTTGTCTGACCTCCTCTGCCAGTAGATTTGAGGCGACATTCACTCCTCCCACCCATGGAGAAGCACCCCATGCTGAAAACCTCCAACACGCTGTTCTGCGGCGACTCTGTTGGGGGCATAACAAACTGCTTGCCTCTTAATTAAAGGCCACAACAAAGCTGGAGATGAAGCAACAACTTAGTGCTTTCAGTGGCCGTCTGTGATTTTGGTGGATGATGTGTTAGAGAATATTTGTTTTGTTTGGGAAAATAACATCCAGGTCATGGAAGAACGTCAGGGGAAATTCATTCAAAAGGAATGAGACATGATTATTCATTTGCTGAGGACATTTCTCCACTCAATACAGCAATTCAGCTTTAACAAATGCATACCACTTTGTGATACACCTTGTTATAATAATTTGGTCAATGTAATAATTTTGTGCCCAGACTGGACCATTTTCTTCTTTTATGTATTAAATGTGCTTGCTAAGGTTTTTCAGAACCATTTACAGGGACATACCATTCAAAAGTTTGAGGTCTGTAAGATTTTTTAAATAAGTCTCTTTTGTTTACCAAGATTGCATTTATTTGATCACAAATACCATAGAAACTGTAATATTTTAGTATATTTTAAAACATAATTTATTTCTGTGATGCAAAGCTGAATTTTCAGCATCATTACTCCAGTCTTCAGTGTCACATGATCCTTCAGAAATCATTCTAATATGCTGATTTGCTGCTGAAAAAGCATTTCTTGTTATTAGCAATGTTGAAAACAGTTGTGCTGCTTAATATTTCTGTAGAAACCATGATACATTTTTCCCAGGATTTTTCTATTCTTCTGATGAATATAAAGTTGAAAAGAACAGCATTTATTTGGAATAGAAAACTTCAGTTATAAATGTATTTACTGTTACTTTTGATCAATTTAACATATCCTTGCTGGATAAAAGTATTGATTTCTTTCACAAAAATCTTACTGACCCCAATATTTGAACAGTATTGTAACACTTTCATTCTGAAACATATTGTTCTCTGTTGTGACATTAAAATATGGGTGTAGATTATCATAAATAAATACTGTTCCAAAACATGTAGGTTGCTACGACTGTTGTAGCCGAGATGAAAATAATACACATACTAGCT